GCAAAAGAAATTTTAATATCAAATCTGCTTACTGGTTCCTAAACGAATTCTACTCGCGCTGGTTTCAACTAAGCAGTGGACCGCTTATCTACCACTGTCTGTCTGTCACGTGAGCTGAATGCATGTCTTCCTGATGCATTCGTCCCAACAAGTCGTGAGTCTTTCAGCTGAATTGTGCGATTGTCTCGTAACGATCGCCGTAGTTCAGCAATTTTCTGTGACAAAATGCTTCACAAGTAAATCGCAGTAAATCAGTCAAACCTCAAAACGTCACCGAAGCCAGAAAGTAGACGAGCGGTTACAATGACTGTGTGAAGCTGTGGTCACATTTGTCTCTGCTGTGAAAAACGCAGGACGACGCCTCAGTAACGTGATTATTCTGTGACGGGAAGGACAGACAGTAACTCATATGTTTATCGAGGCGCGCTGACCTTCCCCTCACAGCTGCATCCTGATGCTTCTCTCACACCACCGTCCAGCCGTCCTGCACACATCAGTTATTTTAAACTATACTATTTTGTAGCTGCTTGTCACATGCACAGTACACATGACTGAGCTGCAGGTGATTGTCCACAGGGCATCACGTGGACCGTCATTAACTCACTCGGGGTGTTTGCAGATGCAGGAACAGCCGATAGACCTCCTGACTCACCTCTCGCCTGTTCTTCTCTCTCGTCTGTTTCTCCCAGAACTGCTTCGAGCTCTTCATCCCCAACCACAAAGATCAGGTGATCAAGGCCTGCAAGACGGAGGCAGACGGCCGCGTCGTCGAGGGCAACCACACGTTTTACAGAATCTCAGCCCCGACCGCCGAGGAGAAGGACGAATGGATCAACAGCATCAAGTGAGTCAAACGTTGTCTCCTGCAGATGATCAGACCGACGAGTGGATCTAACATTCTTCCCTCCGTTCCACCTGCAGAGCCGCCATCAGCAAAGACCCGTTCTACGAGATGCTGGCTGCTCGGAAGAAGAAGGTTTCCTCCCTCAAAGGGTTGTAGAGCTGCAGAGGATGAGGCCTGGAAGCCACGAGCGCAGGCCTGCTGGAGGACCTGATACGTGATGCCTGGACCTGCACAGAGGACTCTGCTTTTAAAGAGGCTCCTGTTTTGTTACCTTATGAACCGACGTACCTTCGATATCGACACCTTCTTCTTTACACGTCTGACTTCATGTCGACACTTTGATTTCATTTACAGATGAAACTATTCATCGCCTTTTTGTTTTCCTACAAACATGACCTTGTGAAAGCGCTGCTCCTGCAGCACGGTAACGATGCTGTGCTCTCTGGTTAGGACTCCCACTCACCTGGAAATCTGCTGAAATGACTGTTAAAACGTGTCTGATTGCCTTTTTACTCACCCGATGCTTGTTCTGGTCGAGTACATCAAGTGTCTAACAGCTACTCCAAACAGTTTCACAGAGAGAGAAGAGAGCAGCTCATGTTCTCATCTCCAGCAGAGAAATGTGGTAAAATATAATATGAGGTGCGATCAAAAAGGTCAGACTCGTACCTGATTTAAATGTGGCTGCCATCTGCTTCACAGTAACCTCTTCGAAGTGCCGTGACAGAAACGCGTCGAGCACCATCTGCAGTCTCTGAAACTGTCAACACGGTGATCCTCAGACTTTAGCTTTGGTTTAGGGAAGCCTGAGGAGTCACAGGGAGCTAAATCTAGCAGGGAAGGCGACAACTGTGCTGTTGTGACCAAAAAGTGCAACTGGAGCAGCCACATACCGTAATTAAGGTCGTTTGCACCTCAAAACATAGAAGCAGAACTCAGCCACATGAACGCTGGAGAAAACATCACGCTAGCCTTCAGCTCTTCCTGATGCATCTCCTCCAGTCTTTGGGATCGCGGCTCTTCTACGGTCAAAACCCTTTGGCTTCAGATCTCATACGAGTCGTTTACAAAGTGTCTGCTGATACCATCCATCATCTCTACACCTTAATCCTCACTAGGGTCGTGGGGGGCTGGAGTCTATCCCAGCTGACTCAGGGTGAAAGCAGCTTCACCTGGACAGGTAACCAGTCTATCACAGGGCTACACTTAGAGACAGACAACCAAGCACACTCACATTCACACCTACGGACAATTTAGAATCACCAATTAACCTCAACATGTTTCTGGACCGTGTGAGGAAGCCGGAGAGAACCCACGCTGCACGGGGAGAACATGGAGACTCCACGCAGGAAGATCCTGGGTGTCCTCACCGGGACGCAACCGTCTAGAAGCAAGGCGACGGTGCTAACCACCGAGCCACCACCGTGCAGCTGATACCATTTTCATCAACACTTTAAGTACTGTAGACAAACTGTAGTATCTTGTTGCACCAGCAGGTGGCGCCTCTTACTGTTGAATACTGTAGCGTCCAGAGGAAGTCCCATGTTGGCGAGCAGAGAGCATTATGGGAGGTCAGCTAGTAAAGGAGCACCGTGACAGAGACGTCTGAGGTTCATTGACGTCTAAGCTGCTGATGTGATGAAAAACGTGCAACACAAGTTCCCACTGATGAATGGTCGATATCACAGCTACCGCTTGCTCACTTTGCGTTCACACGACCGTGGACGCACAACAGGAAGAGTCTCTGGACTTTTTGATCGCACCACGCATATTAAATAGCCGGCTGCACAAAAGCTAGAAATAAAGCTTTCTGCAGCTTGTCAAAGAAGTTAAAGGATGAAGGAGTCGTGACAAAATGCTGGAAGGACAGTTAGAGAACGTCCAACTGAACACAAGTGTGATTCAGACGTATTTCTACAGCTGAAACTTTGCTTTCCTGCAGACGTCCACCGAGACACAGATCTACTTTAAGACAGGTTTCATCTGAATCGCTGAGTCTGTTCACTCTGCTGCCATATAAACCTGTTTTCATTTTCTACGCCTGTTTTCTTTCCTGCTGTTGGTCTTCTGTCAGTGCACTGTTTATGGAAATGAAGGTAACACATAAATAGCTTAATATTTATTTATCCAGATTCCTTGTAATTTATTGATTTGTTTTTTTTCTTTTTGTCTCATTAAAAGTTTGCAAACAGATCTTGTGTTTCTGTTCGACTGTGCGTTCATAGGATTGTTGTTGTTTTCTGCACGCCAAAACTGAAAACGATTTCTTTTTGTGAAATACTTTCCTGAGGTGATTTCTACGACATGCATCGCACTATTTCCACTGTGTACTACATCCTGACACGTTTTGACGACATTCTGAATCATG